TTCTTCATTTGCTTTTTCTTCTCTCTGCTTTGTTCTGCGTATTTTCTTCTAATATTTCTCACAATTTGCAAATTCTCTAATTTTTCATCTAATTTGGCATTAAATCCAATCACTGAGTTTTTAATTTATTATATATTTTAGTTTTTCAATTTTTTGGTTAATTTTGTTATCTATCTTGTGTTTTAGTATTTGTACATACTAAGCTTAATTTTCCCAATTAGAATTTATCCAACAAAATCGTATGGTATTTAAGACATTAGCTACCTTTCAACTTATCAAATAAATTTTTAATGAATATCTCGTCAACAGTTTCAAATACTCATATTTTGGTCCAGAAAAGCAATGCTTCTTTCATTGATGGTTACTGTAGATACCTCATGCATCTATGTGTGATCATAAAACACATGAATATAGATGGCTGATCAATGGATTTTGAATTAGCTCCTAGTGGCTACCGTTTCCATAGTTCCACACAGGCTTCTCATTATCTCAGTCTTCAAAGAAGTATGGCACTGCCCAAAGCAGATGACCAAAATATAAAGATGTTTAAACATAATGTTAATTTTTATTCTACAAAGGTAGTTGAATGTTCTCACCTGCTGAAAATTTTCTTCATAAAAAACAAAGATCCTAAGTTTGCATGACTATATAAAAATTGACATACTAGAAATTAACCAAGATGAGCCCATTATTTATTGGCACAAGTATCAACACTAAAATTTGTTACTTGAAAGTTTTCTCAATTATGGTGAAGAAACCAGAAGTACTTTACTATGATTGAGGATTTAGAATAACGTTCAGGGGTCCAGCTACTAAACTTTGTACCTATCAGGAAAAACGGTGAGATTTAACTTCATGGAAAAACCAATGACAGTACTTTCCCACAGGCAGAAGCCAAACTCTTCACTCTTTCAGTCATTCAACTAACATATGCCTAAGACCACTTCTCTCCTAAGTGAAAGCATGTCTCTATATCTCCCCAATATCATCCCAGGATATTTAGACCTTTCCCACATTTTTACAAGCAATGGTGGATATGATAAGAAAACATTACACCTAGAGGACTAGATACCAACCAAAGACATACTCTATCTTGGGCAAATAATAATCACTTTCTAAATATCTTCTGGGCTATTCTATCAGGAAAATAATTCATCCATTTATGTTTGTAGGCAGAGTCTATGACTTTTACATCAACAATATTTTAAATAAACAAGACAGTAAGGTCATTATAGATTTGTTAATTAGAATATTTGAAACAAATTCAAATGAACTAATCTCTCTGAAAATTTTTATTCTTAGAAAATCCCTAGAGGAAAAACACTTGGCTCTTGCTAAGCAAAAGTAGCTAAGTGCCAAATAATGTCAAAAGCCTGTAATATGAGAAGAAAAACTCAAAAGTAAATTAAATAATAAAATATGATTTCACATTATGAAATACTTAGGTGAGGCAAGTAATATTTCAGCCAGAATGAAAGGAGAACCAGTCCCAGGTTTTCTTCTCTAAAAATATTCCTGGTAGGGAGGGCCTTACCCTTCCTGTTACAAAGTCCATACCAAAGAAGCCCTGAGGCTGAGAGGCAGAGAGCCTAAGAATGGAAGTTGACATTCTGATTCTTGGAAAGACAGGCAATCATAGTGCTGCAGTTTTAGAGTACAGGCTTTTGATCAAGGCCTGAAACTGTGTCAGACAAAATCATAATGATCTGCACTCCATTCATTCAATTTTTAAATTTTATTCCAATATCAATTTAATAACTGATTCTACAATAAAGAAATTTTTATTTGCCAACAAGGGAGCAGTGCTTAAGGGCTTCCATTTTATTTCCATGACTTGGCTTACCATTGGCTCCATGGAACACCTTCATCTCATCATAAGTTAATTAAATATTGGATTTTTCTGCTATAAGATCCTTAGATAAAGAGTCCCATAAACACCTATCTGAACCAGCTCAAGTCTTTATCACATAATGGGCTCCACTGAAAATTGGTCATTTTCAACTTACCTAACATATTTTCAATTCATCCACCCTCAATGTAATATATATTATTGCTAACACTTGAAGAGCATGTCTAAAGGCACTGTGATCTCTTACTAGTAAGTGGTAAAACATGCACAAACCTATGTTTATTTCTAGAGAACGATCAGATATGATCAAAGATACTGTGGTTCAAATTATGACTCCAAGACGAAGAATTAATATATGAAAATAATACCTAATTCTCTATGTCCCTTCCAGTTATGTGAATTCTCTATGAATTCAAATAACTACTAATACCAACACCCAGTGTGGAAGTGGATCCTTCCTCAGCCAAGCCTTCGTATGAGATAGTAGCCCTAAAAGCACCTTGATTACAGCTCTGTGAGAGACTCTGAAGCATGAAAACCTGCCAAACCATTCTTAGTTTCCTGACCTACAGAAATTGAGAAGGAGTACATACTGTTTGAATCACTAAGTTTTGAAATAATTTGCTATTAATAAATACATAACTCATAAATATATCTAGAATAGACTTCAAATACTGGGAAACATGCCAATAAATATTTAGTAAACTTATGAATCAAGCAAAAGGTATAATGGAAATTTGCAATTATTTAGAACTAAGCAATAACAGAAACATATCAAAATGTGTGAGGTGTAATCAAAACACTACTTAAAGAAAAATGGATAGCTATAAATGCTTACATTTAAAATAAATGTTTAAAAGCAGCCATCTTATCCTTCACCTTACGAAACTAGAAGAAGAAGAGTAAATACAAGCCAAGGTAAGAAAACAAAAGAATATAAGTACAAAATCAAAAACCAATAAAATGGAAAACATAAAATAGAGAAAAATAGCCAAAAATTGGTACTTTAATAATGAAATTAATAAACTGCTGGCAAGAGAGAACAAAGGGAAATTCAAATAACCAACATCAGAAATAATAAAACAAATAATCATCCCATAGATCCTTTAGACTTTAAAAGGTTAGAAAAGCGTTGTTATGAAATACATTATTTCAATTAACTGGACAGCTTAGATGAATTAGGTAGAATGTAGGGAAAGGACTACCTTCTAAAAATGACACAAAGGGAACTGAAACACTCCAATATCTTTCCAAGTAATGAGCTATCCTTACTTGTAGAAAACATGATAGTGTTTCAGAAAACCCTAAAGAATCTACAGACGTAACTTTGTAGGAATGAGAAATAATTTAGCAAATTTATAGGACTCAAGTGTCAAATAAAAAATTCAATTCCTTTATATAAACTATCAACTTTTTTAAAAATTAAAAACCTGTGATGAAATCTGAAAACACAAACACTTAGGAATAGATAAGGAAGATCCCTACATTAATAAAAACTACAAAACTCTTCAAAAATAAACTTTAAAAATACCTAACAGATATATTGTGTTCAGCAGCTAGAACACACAATATTGTTAATGTTAGTACAAGTTGATTCATAGATCCAACTTAAAATGAATAAAACTCCAATATGCTCTTTTGAGATATAGACAATTGTTCTACATGCTGCTCTGCAAAGTGACTTTGCCAGTTCCCAACCAAGGGGTATCTTCTATTTCTGTAAAACCTCAAATCTGGTGTGGTCATGTGACCACTCGGTTGAATAGAATATGATGCAAGTGACATTGTGCCAGTTCTGGACATAGCACTTAACCTGCCAGACCCATCTACTTTCTACCGCTAGGATCTCTGAGCAACATGTGAAAAGCCTTACTATTCTATGGAGTGATCTTGATGTCCTTCATCTAAAAGGACAGGAAGAGGGACCCAGAACATCTCTTAAGGGTTATCCCTTCCAATATACTATAAATGTGAATTAAGTTATCCTGCATTTTACAGAATACTTAGTTATCAGGTGAATAAGAGAGTGACTCCAGTCCTTGCCACACAAAACAGAAGAAATACCCTGCCAACAACTGCCTGAATTCCTGGCTCACAAAATTTTGAGATAAAAGAATATGGTGGTTATTATAACTCATAATAACTGTGGGGCTCTGAACCTTACATGAAGACAGGACCTCAAAGTGTGGTATTTCCACAACAACAATTTAAAGTGTATGACACTGGTTTTAGTGCCCCAAAATAGCAGCCACCAGGATATTATAAGTGAATGCTTAAAAGACAGAAGTAACTATTCTAGAAGCTGTGACAAAAGTGAGTTGCCATCCAGGACTGAAAAAATTTAGTAATTCTGTCACCTATAGGAAGGTAGAAAATGAAAAATGTACTTAAGTGAATAGGTGGATTTCGCTAAAATTTCCAAGGAGAATATTGAAAATTGCAGCAGTGTGTTACATAAAAAGGCACAGATTTTTAAAAAACACATTGCTTAAAAGATTAACTGTTACATTTTCAGACAGAAATTACAAGAAACATAAAAGAACCAGAAATTACTAGCTTCACACATAAAACTCATTCCCCTTTCCAGTCTCTGCAAAGAGCTAAGTACTCTAAAAGTAGAAAGGTCATTAAAATAAATGTCATTTCAAAGGTGTGGAAGTTAAGACACTTGGAAAGACCACGGGAAAATTTAACGGTATGTCTCATGAATACATTAAACTAGACAAACATAATTCTAAGATTCCTAAGAGTATTATCTGACTGCATGTAGAGTTTCAGCTGAAGTCTGAGCAAGGCCCGTTTCACAGATATTTGTGAATATAGTGCTTGTATATTCCACAAAGACTTTAAATAAATTACACTGAAGGAAGCACCATAGCCTTCCCTTCTCAACAGCAGCCTCCATTTTATTACCTATTCCTACATTTCTCCATTGTGTGCTGAGTATGTGGAAGAAATACCGGGTCTCAAAGATTTGTAAATAGGAAAATTATCATTTGAATCGTGCACAATAGGACCCACAAACAAGCAGCTCCATCCACACTCAGCCTGGATATAGACGTTGAGATATTGAACTTCAAACAAATGCCACGATGGGATGATTTCCTAATTGAGCTGTGAGCATCTAAATCCTGTCTTTCCACTTTGCGATGCTTGACATGCCCTTAGAAATCTGAAAACTTGACTGGGAAGACCTTGACTACATACCTCCTTATCTACACGAGGAGGGACACTCTTATTCTAAATATAGTTAACTTTTTACCCAAGAGTTTTTCTATAGCATTTCTCATCTCTGAATTTCTCAGCGTGTATATTAAAGGATTCAACATGGGTGTGATAACTGTATAAAAAACAGTCATGAGTTTATCAATAGGAAAGGTTGAAACAGGTCTAACATACATGAAAATACAGGGAACAAAAAAGAGGACAACCACGGTGATGTGGGAGCTGCAGGTAGACAGGGCTTTACGCCTCCCTTCCTGACTGTAAGTTTTAAGAGAGTTTAGGATGATTCCATAGGATATTAATAGAATGATGAAGATGGCCATACACATTGCTCCACCATTGACAACAACAGTGAGGCCTATAAAGTAGGTGTCAGTGCACGCCAGTTCCAATAATGGGTACATATCACAGACAAAGTGGTCAATGACATTGGGGCTACAGAAAGGGAGACTGTACACAACAACAATTTGAAACACAGAATGCACAAAACCTCCAGCCACAGCCGCCATCAACAGAAGGATGCAAACCTGTCGATTCATGATGGTCAAATAGTGCAGTGGCTTACAGATGGCCACATAGCAATCATAGGCCATCACCACCAGAAGGAAGATCTCAGCACCACCAAACAAGTGGCCTATAAATAGCTGGCCCATGCAAGCTGGGAAGGAAATAGTCTTTTTGTCACAGAATAAGTCCACAATCAACTTAGGAGAAATGGTAGTGGAATATACAGCATCTATAAGTGACAGGCAGGCAAGGAGGAAGTACATTGGGGAGCCCAAGGAAGGGCTGGAAATAATAGTCACCACAATGAGTAGGTTCCCCACCATTGTCATGAAGTATGTGAGTAAAAATGTGACAAATAATGCCTTTTGCACACCAGGATCCTGAGAAAAGCCAAGTAGGACAAATTCTGTAATAGTGTTATTCTGTCTCATTTACTCTTCTTCCAGGCTTATATCAGAGGTGAGAGCTCAGGAGAACAGGACCTGTAATGAAACAGTGAACAGGAATATGATCACATCCTTTGTGTCACAGAGCACATCTTCGTTGTTGTATCCTCAATAGTGATTTACACACAATAAACATTTGGTAAGTCTCTGTTGAGTTCCTCACACAAAGAGCCCATCTTCCCTTAAGGATTCTATTTCTCGGCCGGGTGCGGTGGCTCAAACCTGTAATCCCAGCACTTTGGGAGGCTGAGACGGGTGGATCACGAGGTCAGGAGATCGAGACCATCCTGGCTAACACGGTGAAACCCCGTCTCTACTAAAAATACAAAAAACTAGCCGGGGGTGGTGGCGGGCGCCTGTAGTCCCAGCTACTCGGAGGCTGAGGCAGGAGAATGGCGTGAACCCGGGAGGCGGAGCTTGCAGTGAACTGAGATCCAGCCACTGCACTCCAGCCAGGGGGACACAGCGAGACTCCATCTCAAAAAAAAAAAAAAAAAAAAGATTCTATTTCTCCTCAAATATTTTAATTTAAGCCAAAAGTTCAACGCTTCTACCTCTTAGAGTTAGTGAATAGTCTACGCAGAAGAATAGTTAAAGTCCCAACAGCCATTCATACATTTCATAACTTCTTATTTAAAACTTTTTTCTTGGCACAGAAGTCAGCTGTGATGAATAGGCAATGGGTTCTTGGTCTCAAGAAACTTACTCTCTGATGGTAGTAATAAACACTAAATAAATAAGTTGAAATAGATTGAAGTCCTTTGTGTTTGTACTTGTGGTATTTATGATATGATCTATGTAGCACCAAGAATAACATCTTATAAAATATGTCACTCAGTGCTCTCGCCTTCTACTGTTAGACCTTCATTCTCTCATGCCTCAAAGGATGTTCAGTCTTAATTAGTCTTTCATTAAATGTCAAACGATAGGACTCTAAACTGTATAAATGCTATGATATTATTTATCACATGTTAACTTCAGCAATTATTTGGTCTGACTCTCTGTTTACCTGATAAATAAGGAGCCATGTTTCTCTCCATTTTATCCTTACCTATACACCAATTTTACAACACTTACAGACAATATTCAAATTATCACCAATTAATTTTGAACTCAAGTGAACTAATTCATGACTATCATCAACTACCAAATAAGCAGTGAGTATTATTTTCTGAATTATTGGGATGAGCTAGGTGGTGAAAGAGGAGAAAGTAGACACTGTAGAAAGACATACAGAACAGTGGGACATGGTTTTATTCATAATACTATTTAGATACGAAGAGTACTCAGATTCCAAAAAGAAGCATACTCTAAGAGAAATTCCAAGTTCAGAGTAAGAAGGCTTGGATTTGAGTCATTTTCTGAATGCATTTAGAAGTCTGTCTCAGTTTACTCACTGGAAAACAATGGGATTAAAGTTGAGAAATTCAGAATCCTTTCTAGTTAACTATCTACAAAACGATTAGTGCACCTCTTTTTATGGTATTCTGCTGACTTTTTTAATTTCTTTTATAAATTTATAAATAAATAAAAATTTCCAAGTTCATGTCTGTTACATGAAAAATGGTAGTCTGTGGGACATGGGGTTTCATAAGTACAGTAAGCAAATAATGACTATAAGTTTCTCACTCAGTATGTACCTATCTAAGATCTAAGAATTTTTGGAGAGAAAGTGCGGCATGTGGTGAATAATGTGGACACTGGAGCCACACTGCTTCAGCTACAACCTCAGCTTCACCATTTTTAATAAGCTTTTGGGCCATTTACTAAAGTTCTCTATCCCTTACTTGTATCCTCTTTAGAACTGCAAAATACCCCTTACCTCTTAGAGTTGTTGTTAATTAAAACAAAGTAAAGAACACTGGCTGGCACCTCTTACGGGCTCAACAAATAACAGCTATTATTAGTGTTCTTGAATGATTCACTGTGAACATAGAATCAGAACAAAATATGCAGATCTCTGTCAACTGGAAAAGATTTATAGACACAGTCCAGGAAAAAAAAGAAAAGGATACCTATAATCCGGAAAGCCTTTTCTGGGCAAACAATAAAATTGTATGTCTTAGAAAATAGTGATTGAATTATATGAGTAGTAATTTTACCTGTGATGGAATGTATCTTGACGAGAAGCAAGCAGAATTATAGTAAAATGTTGGACCCACCATCAGGGAGAGCTCAGGAAATGAAAAGAAGGCTAAAATTATAAAACAGAGAAATGTAGTTAGCTAACATCCACAGCAACAAGAAAAGTAATGGGATAATACAAGTCAGGTTAGTAATCTTTTGAAATCCTCTTCATAAAGATTCCATTTATTGAAGAAATACTGAAAGTGTACTCTCCTATGGGTCCCTGGGATGACTCAGGAGGTTTTCTGGGGTAGCCAAAGCAAACACCGATCAGATCCTAGTAAAAAAAGAAAAGAAAATTCAAAAGAAAAAGAACCACGTTGTTACTCTAAGTCTCTAGATCTGACGGCGAAGGACAAACCAATTAAAGAGAAAAATGGGACAGGTTGAGATACAAACCAAGACTTTCTGATTATTCACTGCTGAGGAAAACTGAAGAATTACTAAACCTCAAACATAGACGGGATGATTCCATTTACATAGATCTGGCAGTGGAAAGGATGTGAGCAGAGAAAGTTTGAGTTGTCTCTAGAAGCCAGCTGTGATGAACATTCCACATGTTTCCTTCTTGTTACCACAAGCTGATCACAGAGTTCTGTCATTGTTGAAGCTGTAAATCAAGAGATGCATCTGCTAAGAAGACAAGGGAATAATGTAATCTATAGCCAATTCTATTATTTTTTCACACCTTACTTGCTGTAAGGTTCAGTGCTTTTTTCCACTTCCATCATCACAACTAGATTTCAACAGGATAATTCTTTTGGCAATTTAATGTTTACTTGTAAAAAATGGGATGTGTAAACTTGTAAACTATCTCTACAGTTTAAGTAATTAAAAATGGAATACTTTAGAAACTGAAAGATACCATTATTAGGGTTTCAATGTAAACTGCTCAGTTAACATTTTTCTAGAAAAAAAAATTGATTTAACATAGTTTCTTAAGAACATGACATTTTCAAAAGATAAAATGCGATAACAAAAAACCTCTATAATATTATATTTCATAGTCACAGTTTTACAAATCTATTTAATTGACAGTAGATTAGGTAGTTTCCTCAGCATATATATCTACTAGTCTGTTTGCTGGGATATTTTTAGATTTATAAGTAAAAACCCATATTATGCTTCCAGAACATAACAGGCATTGGTTCCTTCATACTCTAACACACTTGACATGATCCAGAATTTTAAACTCTGTGATCAAAAATATCTGAAAGTAATTGTACACCTTTAATAATATATCATTAAAATATATGTTAAAATATAACATTCCATAAACTAAGATTATGATTAAAAATCTACTGCTTTATCATACATGTAATATGGGACATGTTTTTCTTCTTATTTAGCAAATAGAAAAGGAAAACAAATTAGGCTATATATTAAAACCAAATATACATTGCATATAATGGAAAATTTTCATGTTGCTAGCTTAACTTTCCCAATTAGATTCCTTTAACAAAATAATATGGTATTTAAGACATTAGCCACATTTCAACATATCAAATGAATTTTCAATCAATATATTTTGTCAATAGATTCAAATAGTCACATCATGGTCCAAAAAAGCAATGCTTCTTTCACTGAGCATTGATGTCAATACCTCATGTATGTATGTGTGATCATAAAACACATGAAATGAATAGCTGATCCATGGATATAGAATTAGTTCCTAGTGGCTATAGTTTCCACAGTTCCACACAGGCTTCTCATTATCTCAGTTATTAGAGAAGTATGGCACTATCCGAGGCAGATGACCAAAATATAAAGATGCTTAAACATAATATACAAAGGTATTTAAATATTCTCACCTGCTGGAAAATTTCTTCATAGAAAAAGATACTATCGTTGCATGACTATGTAAAAATTGACCTAATTGGTGGAAATTAACCTAGACAAGACCCTTATCTTGTGACACAAGTGAATAAAAATGTACTAACACTAAAATTTTTTATGTGAAATATTCCTCAATTATGGTGAAGCAACCAGAAGGACTTTACTGTAATTGAAGATTTATAATAACATTCACGTGCCCAGCTATTAAGCTTTGTACCTAACAAGGAAAATGCTGAAATTTAACTTCATGGAAAAACCAGTGACAGAGCATTCTCACAGGCAAAAACCAAACTCTTCAGTTTTTTAGTCATCCAAATTTCATTCAAATAGCGTACCCCTAAGTCCATTTCTTTCCTAATTAAAAACATGTCTTTGTATCTCCCCCTACCTCATCCAAGTAAATTGAGAAGTTTCACAAATTTTTACAAGAAATGGAGGATATGACAAGAAAACATCACACCTAGAGAGCTAGATTCCAACTGAAGACATACTCTACCTTGGGCAGAAATTTAACTCTTCAGATATTTCTTGGGTTATTTCATCAGGAAAAAAATATTTTCATTATGTGTGTACACACAATCTATGATTTTTACATCATCACCACTTAAAATAAAAAAGTCATTATAGCTTAGTTAATTTGAATATTTGGAATAAATTCAAATGAAGTAACTCCCTAAATACCTTGTTTTCCCCTTAGAAAATCCCTAGAGGGAAAAGACTTGGGTCTCACCAAGGAAGAGCAGGTAAATGCCAAGTAATGTGAAAAGCCTATAATGTGAAAAGAAAAATGCTAAAATAAACTGAACAATAAGTTACGAGTTTCACATTATGAAATACTGACGTAAGGCAAGTAATATTGAAACCAGAATGAAGCAGGAACCAGCCCCAGGTTCTCTTCCTTAAGCATATTCCCAACAAGGAGGGCCTTACCCATCCTGTTAGAAAGACCATGCGCAGAAGCCCTGAGGCTTAGAGACAGAGAGCCTAAGGACAGAAGTTGACATTCTCATTCTTGAAAATGTAGGTAATCATAGTTGTACAGTTTTAGAGTACAGGCTTTTGATCAGGG